AGATCTTGGTTTCTCTCACTCCCACCAGCTCTTCGTCAACATTACTCAGATGGACGAACAATCAAAGTCCAAGTAAACCCAAACGAGCCACCAATTGAAGTCTTTGTAGCTGAATCAGGTTCGATTCATACAGAGAATGTTGTAATCGTTCATGGGTTAGGTCTAAGTTCGTTTGCGTTTAAGGAAATGATTCAGGCTCTTGGATCAAAAGGGTTTCATGGTGTTGCTATTGATTTACCTGGAAATGGGTTCTCAGATAAGTCAATGGTTGTTGTTGGTGGAGATAGAGAGATAGGGTTTGTTGCTAGGGTTAAGGAAGTTTATGGTTTGATTCAAGAGAAAGGTGTGTTTTGGGCTTTTGATCAAATGATTGAAACTGGAGATTTGCCTTATGAGGAGATTATTAAGCTTCAGAATTCGAAAAGGAGAAGCTTTAAAGCTATTGAATTAGGGAGTGAAGAAACTGCTAGAGTTTTAGGTCAAGTGATTGATACTTTGGGTTTAGCTCCTGTGCATTTGGTTCTTCATGATTCTGCTTTAGGTTTGGCTTCGAATTGGGTTTCTGAGAATTCGCAAAGTGTTCGAAGTGTAACACTTATTGACTCTAGTATTAGTCCAGCTTTGCCGTTGTGGATTTTGAATGTACCGGGGATTCGAGAGGTTTTGTTAGGGTTTTCGTTTGGTTTTGAGAAGCTAGTGAGTTTCCGTTGCTCAAAGGAGATGACTTTATCGCAAATTGATGCTCATAGGATACTATTGAAGGGAAGAAATGGGAGGGAAGCTGTTGTTGCTTCGTTAAAGAAGTTAAACCATAGCTTTGACATGGCTCAGTGGGGTAATTCAGATGGGATTAATGGTATTCCGATGCAAGTGATTTGGTCTAGTGAAGGGTCTAAAGAATGGAGCGATGAGGGTCAACGTGTAGCTAAGGCTCTTCCAAAAGCAAAGTTTGTCACACATTCAGGCAGCCGGTGGCCTCAGGTTAGAGATTCTTTGGACTTTTAGCTTTACTGAATTGGTCAAAGCAAAAGGTTGTGTTTATACTAAAATCAAGTAACGAAATTCAACTGAATCCATCTCTAGTATATAATGAGTAAGGTTATAACCACACCCTATTTCAGAATTTAGAGCGTCGTAATTAACTATCGGTAAGGTTGTTAAAATCTTATTGTTCTGCCATTAGTTTATATCTGCACCATCCTGCTCTCTAGTCGATAGGAGCAGAGCATCTTTAGCTCCTATTTTTGTGCTGCTTGACTTGTTTGAAGAACACAAACATGTGGGTTTTACCTTCATTCGATATACTTGTTGAGTTTTTTTAGTTGTAAAATAGAAATGTCACATTAATCTGAAATTTTGACGTTTCCGATTAGATGTAGAGCTCTTACTGGCACTTGAATCATTCAAGGGTATATATCTGAGACTGAGAGTACTCACACAAATTTTTCGTTGTTTTACTTAGCGTGGTTTTTTGGGTTTGAGTCCTCAAAACTTGTGGTCATTTTGATGATGCAGGAAAGCAAATCCGGTGAGCTTGCAGATTACATTTCAGAATTTGTCTCTCTTCTCCCGAGATCCACCAGACGGGTTACTGAAGAACCTATCCCGGAGAAAGTTCAGAAAGTGTTAAAGGAAGCAAAGGCTGGTGGCGACCATGACCATCATCATGGCCACGGGCATGCCCATGCTGGTTACACGGATGCTTACGGTCTTGGTGAGGAATTTACTACTTGATATGCCTTTTGAGTTCTTGTTGCTTGTTATTATTATATACTATGTACTCTTAATTTTATGTCTATTTTGAGATTTTTTTTTTTTTTTTTTTTCTGGTTTAAAGTCTTGAGATACTACAAAATATGAATCTGTGTGTTTTTTTGTAAGTCAGCAAATTTCATTAGAAATCTCACCTCGTTATTTTATTTACTACTAGATTTCTTATGTCTATGTGTCCGATTTATAAGAAATAGCCAAAAAGCTTATGGAAATTTATTAAACTTTGATGTATCCTTTAAAAATGTTAAAGTCTTAAGCACACATATAACTTGTTTACATAATAGACCTGCACATATAAAAAAAAAAAAAAAAAACCAAATTAGGAACGATCGTCTATAACGTATATGTTATTTGGTTGGTTATGGTGCACAAATGCCATATATGCTTTTGTTGTTGATGTTTTCGCCTATACCTCATCGGTCATATTTACATCTTCTTATTATTGCCTATGTACGTTTCCATTTCATGTTGATGCATTAGCGTTAAAATCATCACTGATATGTTGTGTTTTTATAGGTTTTGAGTCTTTGCTTTCTTTCCTAGATCATATCTTTTATAAAGTCAAAGTATGTTTTTAGAGTCTTTTAGTCCTTTAACGAGTCTCTACAGGTTTTAGGAAGCTATGCTGGAGTTGGAGGCTTTTCGTATCAAAAACGGGCGTTCGGAGATGAAATGGGAATATGGTGATTCAAGACAATTCTGGAAAATGGCATCAGGCAAATCTCATCAGGCAATTGTCTGATGCACAATTTCAGTTTTCTGCCCAAATCTGCTGGAGAATGGCATCAGGCAAATCTCATCGGGCAACTGTCTGATGCACAATTCTGGTTTCCTGCCCAAAAATCCGCTGGAGAATAGCATCAGGCAAATCTCATCGGGCAACTGCCTGATGCCCAATTCCGGTTTTCCTTAACCGAAATTATCTTCTATTTTCTGTAATTGGGTATAAAAACCCGGAGACCTAAATTTTCAGAACACATTCTTTTTTTTCTGCAACTTTTTGAGACTTCTCTTCTGTAAGCACTTTGGGATTAGAGATTCATCCTTCTTAACAATTTAGAGAAGATTTCTAAACCCTATTTCATTTATATTTAATTGAACTATGTTTTCTTTTACATCTATTTTTGTTGTTTCTTTTGCAATGAGTGAGTAGTTCTCCAATTGGGTTTTAGGGTTCTAAGTAGAAATTCAATGGATTAGTGAATAGATTGTCATAAGGAATTCTCCATCAATAGGTTCTTCAATTTACATATTCTTAATGCTATAATAGGATTGATCACCCTGTTTAGAACATAGATTTTTCTATGCATCAAAAGTGTTCGATAGAATGCCTGAATGAATGTAAATTGAGCAATGTGTATCTAGCCAACGAAAGTTGATGTTAGACCGCATTGTGAACGAAATGAACTAACTCGTTAATTAGGAAACTACAAATGAAAGTTTAGTAGTTGAATAGTCGAATTTAGTGACTAATGTCTTGAGAAAGAGTTAGTCTAGAATTGTGTTCATAGTTGAGAACGGTTCTTCGTTTATGAATTCCTTGTTTCGTTTATCCCGCTAGTTATTATCTTTTGAAATATCCGATATCTTTAATTCATAAGCTTAATCGTCTATTTTATTTACATTTTTATTTTCAATTCCGAAAACCAAACAAAACAACTTTTCGCTTTAGCTAAGAACGAGTCTCGGAAATCTTTAGTGTACCATTGGTTCTTGTAGATCGACCCTGTATATACTACCTTGCGGTTAAGTGTATCGGTTAATTACTCGAGCAATCAATCACCCAAATTATTTTGATTCTTAATGAAATTATGAAAACCTATTATAGCTAGCAATAAGTTTTATTTGTGGAGGCATCCAGTTCATAGGATTAGACTTCACTCTGATGAAAGGAAGATCTAGCTCAATTGCAAGTGAACAGACCATCTTTGAAACTAGAGACAACTTGTGAAAATTTAAGGGAGTATTTGCGGTAAATAGAGTGGCGATTAACGGTTTTTAGCGTTAGAGGATTGGCGTTGCCGAAAAACCAACAAAGTGTGAAATCCTATTCTGCAATCTCAGGATTATGAGTTGCAAAAGCTAAAAGCTCGTTCCAAACGAATGGACAAAAACCATAAAGCTTTTCATAATAAGCATTATGGTTTTCTATCCGCTCCGTATTCTCTAAAGAAAAGAATCCGGAAGGTGTTTGCACTAGTAAGCTCTTAGCAATTCTTCAGAATTATCAGAGAGATCCACTTGATCTTGTGCATGAGAAGGCATCTAATCACATGTGTGAGAGAATTTTGATGAAGTAAAAGATCTTTTGATTTGATGTCTACATCATCAAAGAAGCAGCAATTTACGGCGAACGTTACGTCTTTGAGACCATTGGTGTTGGCATCCTTTCAATAGAGGTTTTAGATCTCTCATCATTGCAGCATGAAAGCAACGTACAAGCCCTACAAGTGATAAATCGGCTCATGTGAAGAAGAGAATCGGAAAAAATTCATTCAAAGACTAGTAGATAAAATTGTGGCAGAGGAATTTGCGAAGGTATTAAAGAAGAAAAGAATCGCCTAAAGGAAGAGTCAAAGAAAGTGGTTGTTAAAGAGACACAAAAGGAATAGTCAAACAAAGTGGCTACGACGACAAGGATGTTGACAAAAATAATCGTGTCTTTAAGTGTTTGTAACAGTAACTCTAGCTATGAGACATATCCTCAAGGTATGATGATTGCCTACAACGCCAGATCCGCGTTGAAAACACTTCAAGGGACTGTGAAATTAGTCGCTAAACGGTCGCAAAAGAGGGTTTTGCAACTGAATAACGACTATTTCCATTGGTCGCAAAAAAACGGTCGCAAAATTTCCGTGTATCACTATAGTCGCTAATTTGCGATTATATGGTGACTATAAATTTATCGTCGCAAATTACCGACTAAGCTGTGACTGGTGAATATCGTTGCAAATGTGTGACCAAAGAGCAACGAACGGACGTTAGCGACTCATTTGCGACTGTAATAACCTTACATATTTGGATCAATTTGCGCCTTGTTTGCGACCGTTTAGAGTTCTTGGATCAAATACTTAGTCGCACTTTAGTCGCAAGTTGTGTATGTTTTAGTAACAGTGTAGTCGCAAAAGAGTTGTATATGGTGTGACTATTTTAGGACTCATTAATTATGGTGACAAAATAGTCCTAAATTAGTAACCATTTTGATACGAAATTTGGAGTTATTTGTAAATTTGTTTAGTCACAGTTTGGTCACATTTGTTAATTGTTCTGGTCACAAATTAGTCCGAATTTCTGAAACTTTTTGGTCACAAAATAGTTACATCTTTGTCTTTCATGAAAAGGATGAGCTTCTCCAAGCTTGCGATCCGAGCTTGAGACTTCCGGTGCTCCTCATCACGTCTTGAATTCTCAGCATCCTGATTAGAGATCTTGCGCCGCAGCTGCTCTTGAAGCTCAACAACTGTCACTGTAGAAGAAGAGCTTGCGTAACTCTCCTTCCTTTTTCCTTTATGTAGGGTCTCCACCAGTGATCCAAGGCCATAAGGGTTGCCTTGGTCATCTATATGAGTACACTGCAAAAAAAGACAAACATTCAGTGAAATCAGACAAGAAGGATCATAGACAAAATGAAAAAAAAACAAACAAAATCCAGAATGTGGCAAAGAAGTCTGACAAAGACAATCCACAAAGCAAATTAGACAAAGACAAATAAAAATCATCATTGATATTAAAGTAACAATGCTCAGCAGACAAGACTATCATACTCCAAGCAATCAAATACAATCATATAATCCAAGCAAACTAAAGACAGAAATTACTTACCTTAATGAAGATATCATTCATTTCATCAATGCTGAGTTCTCTAGGATGCATTGAATGTTCAAAGGAAATCTCTGAAGCATCCTGAACATCCTCTTCCAGTTCAGCCAATCTCTCTTCAACTGTCTTCTTATATGTCTCAGCCACTTGTTCAGACTTTTGATCAACAAAAGAGCCATCAGCTCTAGTATGCGCTCTCATAAACACTTCACCTAATGAAACTGGACGCCCCAACTCTTCCTCCTGAAATGAAAGACAAAAAGAATATCATGTGTAGAAATTATAGAAATTATGTAAAAGTAAAGTATTTGGAGCGATTGAAACAACTTACCATCTCTTGATGAACTTGAATAAATGATTTCTGACCGGCTAAGTGTTTGTGCACTCCAAGTCCGCCACGATCAGAATTTCTGCATTGTGAAGCATTCTCACTCCTCTCTATAGCATCAGCGGTCTTCCAAAAGTTCTGCATCTCAGTCCAAAGTGTAAATCCAATCCAAGTTGGTTGTACACCTTTCGACCTCACTTGACTGACAATGCCTTTCATCCGTTTCTGCGCTATAACCAAGAATCCTTGTTTAACAAGGGCAGTAATCCCAGTATCCCAATTAAACTCCCGCTACATAACACAAAACAGTAAGTTAGTAACATACTATATATACTACAATAAGAGAGAATGAAAGATATATATATATGTCATTACCGCAAAAGTTCTGAAATATCTCTCTTGTATGTTGATTGGAGTAACCTTCCAGCTGTAGTAAGGCCCATCAAATTCCTCTAAATATTCTAGAAATTGCTCGAGACAGCACTCCCTTTTGCCGGTTAAACCTGTTACAACAAGAGGCTATTAGTCTATATAAAGCAGATTTTATATAGAGCAAACAACAAACAGAGAATGAGCATGAATGAAATGAAGATATAGCAAAGATTCAAAGAGCAAACACCAAACAGAGAATGAGCATGAATGAACTTAGTTCAGTTTCAAAGACTGAAGACCAATGCAAAAACAATTCGACTGTTGTAATTAGCTAAAACTCTGTCAAAATGGTTCAAAAACAACAACTCATTGAATAAAAAAACCTACAACTGTTATATATTGCATATACATACTGTATTTGACAGCTAATATATGAAACAACACTCCTGAGACCAAGTCTCATACTATATTTGACAACACTTCTGAGACTCAACGATTACAACAACAAACAATGATATGCAAGCTAATATATACAAATGTCAGACCAATAATATGCAAATGTTAGACCAAAGCAATAACATGTATCTTTTTGAAACTTTTAGCAAATGATAGATCAAACCCTAGTCAAATGATAAATGTCAGACCAAAACTTTTAGCAATACCAAACATCACACATCAAACAAAACAAACAGAGGGACAAAAGTGTTAATACCAGAGTGTTTCAACGCCTGGGATTGGGTGTACATACAATTGAGGAAGATGTTGTCAGCCTGGAAGAGCTAGCAAACGATCCAGCATATCTTGGTAGTCTTCCCCAGGATTAGGGTTTTCTTCGTTATCTTCTTGTCCTACATCATCGATCTCTTCCTCTACAAGGTCTTCGTTTTCAGGTAGCACTTGGTGATTCGCATCAGGTTCCGGTAGAGGCTGGGTTTGAGGAGACTGTGGTTGATGCTGCGGCTGAGGAGGAGGAGTCTGTCTATTGAGAGGAGGAGTCTGTCTATTGAGAGGAGGAGTCTGCCTAGAGAGAGGAGGATTCTGTCTACTAGAATTAAGTGAAGGACGACTCACTTGAGATTGGGTCGCAGACTGACTTGCCGAGGATGGGTTCGACGAGTGAGAAGATGTTCCGACTCCACTCGCAGTGACTGGTGGTCTGTGACCAACGAAGTTTTGGCTCGAGCTCGAGAGGCTACTGGTCTGCTGGTCTCGCCTCCTCCTGCAGCTTCTTGTGGTAGCGCCTGGCCACCTCCGGCGGCTACTTGTCTGGTGTTTGCGCCACCTCCGGCGGCTTCTTGTCTGCTGGTTTGGCCTCCTCCGGCGGCCACTCTTCTGGTGGTAGCGCCACCTCCGCGGCCTCGAGAGGATTTACCTTTAGGCGGCATAAGAAGATTTGAGATTTGAGATGTTGAGATTCGAGAGCTTTTAGAGAGGATTCGAGAGGATGGGAAGAGATTTGAGAGAGAATCGGGAAAAACTGAGAGAGGTTTGTGCGAGAATTGATTGAGAGAGAGAGGGGACGATTGAGAGAGAAAACCTAAATCAATTTGGGGATTTTTATGGAAATGAGGCTTCGTTTAAGTTTCACCTAATTAATTCAGAGAACCAGTCGCTCTTTAGTCGCAAAATGGTACCAAAGTAAAAAAATTGGGGGGAATCTAAACCGCCAAAACACTTAGCAAAAATCTTAGAAATTTCACATTTAGTACTTAAATAGTCGCAATAATGGTCGGCAAATAGTTGCAAACGTGGTCACAATATAGTCGCTTAATGGTAAACAATTCCAACATAGTGGAAAATTTGCGACTAGATTGTGACTGTAATCGATAGTCACAACGCAAAAGGAGAGGTATACACATTTCAATCCAAAATGGTTATATATGTCACTCTATAACACTCATATTAGGGTTATAGAGGACATATATTTGTTTAAGGTTACAAAACTTTGCAAAACTCAAGTAATTTCACATTCAGTACCAAAATAGTCGCAATTATGGTCGGAAAATAGTTGCAAAAATTGTCGCAAAATAGTCGCAAACATGCAAATCGTTCCAAAATGGTGGCAAATTTGCGACGGTTGTGTGACTGTGATCTATTAGTCACAAGGCAAAATTTTGAAATCTACACATTTCGATCCAAAATGGTGACATATATCACTCTATAACACTCATATTAGGGTTATAGAGGACATATATTAGTTTAAGGTTACAAAACTTTGCAAAACTCAAGTAATGTAGAGTTTTTACTAAATCCCTAAACATTATTCATATGAGTAATATAATATCATAAAGAGATTTGTTTGTTTTTGATATTTTGTTTCTAAACATCAGTATTTATGACTTTGGTTAAGATTTTCTTGATGAGTAATATCAAATAAGTGTAGAAATGTTTAACTTTATATGTTAGCAAATTTAAAATGTGAAAAGTGAGAAAACAAAAATCGAGAGTTGGCAAATAGTCGCATATGGGTCGCGATCTCAGGTGCTAGTCGCAAAACAGTCGCAAAATCAGGTGCTAGTCGCAAATGACCGACTAGTTAGCGACTAAAAGAAAATTGGTGGAGAATAAACGTTTCAATATACGTTTGTCGCAAAACGGTTGCAAAATTGCGACTGATTTGCGACCAATGTTAAAATGTCCGAAAAAAAACTTGGGTCGATTCGAACCGTTGTCGTATAAGTCCAATGGGAAGTATGTTACCAAATTGCCAGTATACTTAATCGGGAATTTCGTCTAAACATTTATATATATAATCTTACTTAATCGGAAATGTTTTGATTTTTTTTTAGTTTTTTTTTATATTTAAATTATACACATGTTACAATATCTTACAAAACACATCTTTAAACATTTATTAAACAAATAAAAATAACTTATATTAAACTTCCTTCATCTTCAAATTCTTCATCTTCAAATTCTTCATCTTCATCTTCCGATGTGGACAAGTTACAAAGAAATTCGTCTTCTGGTTCAGTATCTTCGATATCAAAATCGATATGTTCATCCTGTTGATTTCCGTCTACTAAGGTGTCGACGATGACTTCTTCAACTATGGTAGGAGTTGCATCATCAACTGTTTGTTGCAATATAACCAAGTCTGTATCGCTAAACTTCCCTTGGATGACATTCTGGGGATTCACTTTGCAAACTGTTAGCCACGATTTGCGAGGTCTTTTTGTGTACGGATATGAAAGCTAGCACACTTGATCAGCTTGAGACCCTGAATTAATTATAAAAATGCATAACTAGATATATATATATATATATATATATTAAATAAATTAATTATATAGAAACACGTATAAGCAAATACAATTACCTAAAATAAATGGCTCGTATTTTCGGTATTTCTGAGATGGTTGCACGTCTAAAATACCTCCATTTCCAATACGAACTCCTTTGCCAACCGTTGGGTCATACCATTCACAGTAGAAAAGTGTGATCTTTAAGTTAACAAATCCTGGATACTGGAGCTCAATTATATTTTCCACGGTCCCAAAAAAATCATCTTCCTCGGCCACATCAGAATAATTTTGTCCTCGTACACATACCCCATAATTCATTGTTTTTTTGGTGCGACCGTGAGTTTTCGTGTGAAACATATACCCTCTTGTAAAATATATGGGCCACGACGTGACTTTGTTTTTTGGACCTTCGACTATATCATGAACCCATGGAGGAAAAGTTTCTTGACTTTTCATTGCAAGCACCTATATATATATATATATATATATATATATATATATATATATATATATATATATAAGTTTATTAAACATATTCAGAAAAATGATATTGAATTTGTATAATCGGAGATATATGATATTATATGTATACTTACATATTGGCGAATCCACATAGAAAAATCTTCATCTCTTTTCAATAAGACCTCATCGTCAGAAAGTTCTGGAGAATCATACCGGATTTGTGCTTCCAACACACTGTTTTACAAACATGTTAATTATTAATTTAGTTAATTCAAAACTACTAAACCAATATAGCTAAACCTCTCAAGCGGACGAAAGTAGTCACAATTACGCAACACATATGCATGAGCACATTTATAATCTATCTCGGTTAACCAAAATTCACTGCTTTTGCCACTCGGACGACCAACTTGAGTGAATATATCCGGAACCGGTATAGGATATACTGGAACATCACCTGCATCATACCGGCTTGACCTAAAAAATTGTATGTATGAGTATAATTAAAAACAAATTATAAGTATAGTATATGTATGAAATATATACCTTCTTCTAATAGCGGTCGAAATGTGCGAAGCAAAGTAGTGTTCTGAGAAGTAAGATATCTCATCATTCATGTACGATTGAACGATTGAACCCGCTGGATATCTTTTGTTCTTCGCCTTGCCTTTCAAACGTTTAAAAAACCGTTCAAAAGGGTACATCCACCTATATTGAACTGGACCGCCAAGCTCTGCTTCATCTGGTAGGTGTACAGGTAGGTGCTCCATCACATCAAAAAAAGAAGGTGGGAAGATCTTTTCCAAATTGCACAGGATCATGACAATATTCTCCTTCAAATTTTGGACGCGGCTTAGCTCCAATGATCGAGTACTTAAGTCACGGAAAAATGCTCCAAGCCCTACAATATAAAAACAAAAGTTAGTAATTAGTCATATTAATTATGATATAGCAAACTTATAATTAATAATTATTTAACTATATTATTTGACCAAATTTACCTGATAATGCAAGATGCACATTACGCGGTAGGAGTTCTGCAAACACGAACAGTAGCAATCGTTCCATGAAAACATGGCTGTCGTGACTTTTCATTCCCAAAAACTTGCCGGCATTGATATCTGCACAACTAGCTAAATCCGCAACATAGCCATCTGGAAATTTGACCTCTGATTTGACCCATTCTAGGAGGCTTTTTTTTGGCTTTTGCACTTAATCTCCAAATAGGAAATGGTGCTTTCCCTTGATCATCAACATGCAATTCTGGCCGGTCACAAATTCTTGATACATCTATTCTTGACCTCACAGTATCTTTTGATTTGTCTTTGACATTCATTACAGTGTATATGATGTTGTCGAGAACATTCTTCTCAATATGCATCACATCAAGATTATGGCGTAGGTTTAGATCGATCCAATATGGAAGTTGCCAAAGAATGCTTTCTTTGTGCCAATTATGCCATTGTCCAGAGCCATCTACTTTCTTTTCATGCCCATTTCCTCTGCAATCAGATGTCATAGGCGGCTCAACAGTCCTTATACGCTCATATAATACCTGTTCACCAGTCAAAGATTGCGGTGGGTAATCCTTCACTCCCTTACCCTTTAGAAAGTGGGTTTTATCCTTCCGTAACGAATGATTTACAGGAAGAAATCTTTTGTGTCAATCAAACCAACAAGTCTTCCTACCACCTGGCAACCAAAATGTATTTGTATCCTCCATACAAATTGGACACGATAATCGACCATGAGTAGTCCATCCCGACAACATGCCATATGCTGGGAAATCGCTAATAGTCCACAAAAGAACCGCTTTGAGGTTGAAGTTTTGATCGAAGGACACATCATATGCCTCAACTCCATTATGCCACAAGTCTTGTAACTCGTCGATTAGTGGTTGAAAAAAAACATCAACACTGGCTCGTGGATGATTTGGTCCCGAATTCAAAATCGTCAAAAACAAATACTCACTTTTCATGCACATATCAGGAGGCAAGTTGTATGGCGTCAAGATCACTGGCCACAACGAATGATTTTTGGACATCCCAAACGGATTGAACCCGTCTGTACATAATCCAAGATAAACATTTCGCGGTTCTTCAGCAAAAGAAGGATGCAATTGCTGGAAATTCTTCCACTCAGCCGCATCTGATGGATGACACATTAATCCTTCTTCCGATTCGTGCTCAGCATGCCATCTCATCAAAGCTGTAGTCTTTACAGATTGGTACATTCTCTTTAATCTGTCCCCAATCGGTAAATACCACATCTTACTGAATGGTATTCTTGTTCTTCCTTCACTCTCCTTATATCTTGGTTTTCCGCAGAACTTGCAATTCCCCAACTTCGCATCTTCTTTCCAAAACAACATATAATTATCTATACATACATCATATGTATGGTACGGTAATCCTAGCTTTCGCATCAAAGTCTCTGTCTCGTAGTAGGAACCGGTCGCCTGGTTACCCTCTGGTAAATATTCTGTAAACAATTATGCCCATCCGTCCATGTAACTTTCTGATAAATTGTAGTCCACCTTATTGTTCATGAACCGAGCTGCCAACGACAACTGCGATTGACCTTCCCGACATCCATCGTAAAGTGGAGTGTTTGCGGCAGCTAGCATGTCGTAAAATCGTTTTGCTTCTTGGGTGGGTTCTTCATGAACATGATCGTTTCCACTTTCATGTTCATGGTACTCGTTATACGGTACAGAACCGTGAAATGCATCATTAACCATTCCAGCAAATATATTTTCCCCATGAAAGCCTATTGGTTCATTGACATTACTAGTATAATCGGTATTATCAGCATAGTTACTAGTATAATCGGTATTATCAGCATAGTTACTAATATAATCGGTATTATCAGCATAGTTACTAGTACCCTCCCCAACAACATTATAATTTTCTTCATGCTCATACCATACATAGTAATTCGGCATAAATCCTCTACTAAGCAAACAATTTGATACCGTAACAGCTTTCACAGATTTCGAATTTTGACATACTACACAAGGACATAAAAACTGACCTTTTCTGTCTTCAACATGGCTTGCATAACTGATGAACACTTCCACACCCGCCAAATTGTCCGCCGCAATTTGATTTGTGTATGGATCGATTCAGTTGTACATCCATTCTCGTGAAGGATTATTCCACATCGTTTCTTTTTTTTCTTCTCTCTTTTTTTTTTTCCTCTCTTGTTTTTTTTTTCTCTTCTTCTCTCTCTTTCGTTTTTTTTTTGGATTTGTAAATGGGAGGATGGAAGAGTGGGTGGAGAAATGAAATGAGTGAGGGGTGGTATATATAGGCTTAAATTTGTGACTATTTTGTGACCATTTTCACGTAGTCACAAAAAATCGGTACACCTACCTCTTCTGCATTTTCAACGTGTTTTCTACCTGCTTTTTCCAACTAATTTGCAACTAACGCGTAACTATGATAAGTGGTCGTTACATCGTCGCTCTTTTGAGACTAAATTGCGACTACTACTTCTGACCAAATAATTAGTTGCACATCAGTTGCAAGTTTGCGACTGAATTGTGACCAAAACATTTTAGTCTGTCATCGGTCGCAAAAATGTCGCTAATGGACGACTAATTACCGACTGTTTGGTTTAGTCGCTGATTTGCGACTAATTTACGTCCATATTTGTTTTCGTCAGTAAATAGTCGTAATAACGTCGGTAAATAGTCGCAGAGATTGCGACCATATATTTAGTCGCAAAAATTAGTTGCAAAACGCAGGTTTTCTTGTAGTAGAAACATCGGGTTCCCTCCTGTAGTGAGACATATCACTTACTTCAAGTCATGACTGCATACTACTATAACATTGGCTTTAAGAATTTCTAAACATTATTTTTCAGCTTACAAGCTTCTAGCAGTAATATATATATATATATATATATATATATATATATATATATATATATATATATATATTTAATCATTTCTTTGAAAATGTTAGATATGTAAATATAACTTTAACCATAAAAAACATGGTTGTTCTATTCCGAATATATGTGAACATATGTCTAAACAATATATAACTAGAATATTTAGATTTAAACCACATATAACCAAAATAGTTGCATTGACTTATGTATCTTAAACTTTTGTAAGTAAATGGCAAAAAAAATATCATATGAAAGATGATTGATATATTATAGTGGATTTGCTAGAAGTGTGTTCTTCGTTTTGTAGACTATTGCATTTTATTTTTTGCACTATCATTCAATATATTTGATCTAATTATATTATAATAATATTGAAATACATGTACCATATGCAATTATGGTAAACAATTCTCACAATTAATGATTAAACGATATAAGTCACTCCGCATGTTTATGGTGGCCAACGATTTTTAAAGACGCACAAGAGTTCATTTCGAAGTGCGATTCATGTCAAAAGAAAAGAAACATTAGTAGGCGGAATGAGATGCCCGAAAACCCAATTTTAGAAGTTGAGAATTTTGATGTTGGGATATAGACTTCATGGGGTCGTTTCCTTCATCATATGGTAATAACAACATACTTGTGGCGGTTGATTATTTGTCGAAATGGGTTGAAGTGATTCTTTAATTTTCCCTCCAAAAATGTGATTCCTTAATTTTTCCCTCCAAAAATGTGATTCCTTAATTTTCCGGCCAAAACGCGGATCCGTAATTTTCCCATAAAAAAAACACAGTCCACATTTTTCCGTCATAAACACAGTTTGATAATTTTTTGGCAAAAAATATGTTTTCAAAATTTTTCCGCCAAAAAATGTTTAATCCATATTTTATGTCATTAATAATAATATGTTAATAATTATTATTTATTATTTTATTTTATGTGTCAACTCAATTAACTATTTAAACCATCAAATAGATGTGTTTATAGGCTGATATGATCTAATTAACAAATGAGTTGGATCAACACTTATAAACCATTTTGGTGTAAACTTATTAGATAATGGGTTGGTTTCAATTGGTTTATCCATTTTGACATATCTACTTACAACTGTATATGTATTTAAATTAAATTTTCTAAAAAAAATCAAGTATTCTTATCATATATTTTATTAATTTTTTTTAACTGATTGACAATATTTTTTGGGAAATTTATCATTTGTGCCACAAAGTGGTGGGTCTCTTTCCCAATATACCACATTTTTGAAAACTCCTCAAATCTACCACATTCTTGTGGTAGGCTCAACTTGATCGGACTAAAATACCCTCTGTTTTTAGTTTGGAGAGAAGGAAAAATTTTGTCTTCTTTCATTGATAGTTGTGCACCCCTTATTAACATATATATACATGTTGAACTTTTTTATTCAGATAAATGCATATGTACGGTGGACGAAACTATTTATATGCATATATATTGTGAATGATATATATGTTGTAACCAATAACTAGACAAACTTAAATTCCACTAAACTAAAAATTACAATAAGTATTTTGAAAAATGTGTTGAAAAATGATACAACACATACACACACACATATATATATATATATATATATATATATATATATATATAGTGGACAACAAGTATTTATAACCAATAATTGAGAGATACCTACATTTGTCCACCAAACGAAAATATTACAAATGTATATATTTATATTATAAAACAAATACAAATAAATCTGTAATATCTACTTGACATGGACAAAAAGGGAGTGGTGAGTATACATAAGAATAGTAGACAATATATGTTGATTGACATAAGAATAATAGACAATATATGTTGATTGACATAAGAATAATGGACAATGAACATTTTCGGTTTTTTAGAAGACATTTTGTTCTTTTTTCGTAGACATCTTTTTCTTCGTCTTCAGTTTTAGTTTTCTAGTAGACATCTTCGTCTTTGGGTTCCCTCGTAGACAACAAACACTTCATCTGCATAAAATCGAAATAGAATAACCAATTAGAAATAAAATCAAAACCAGTGAATCACTGGATTTAGATGGGAGAATGAACTTGATTTTGACAGAGTGCAAAAAGAAAAATAGATATGATGATAAATACAAAATGATCTATTTTTGAGGACATCAAAATTCAGAGATCTGAATTTTTTGACCCACAATAATGATGTAGAACTGTAGAAGAGAAGAAGATGTTGGTGGGATGCAAAGAGATGGAAAAAATTGGAAACAAAACTTATATCTAAACAATTTTTGTCTAGTTTTTGGATCTTGTTTTGGAGTGAGAGAGAGAAAAAAAGAAAAAAAAAAAAAAAGAAGATAAAGAGAGAGCTTGAATCGATATGAAAGAGAAAAGGGGAAGGAATATATTTGTTGTTTTGTGGAGAAAAAAAGAGGGCAAAAGTGTCTTTTTCTATTTAGGAAAGTGGGATGGGAGAAAAGAATTAAGAAAAGTGGTATTTTTGCTAAGAAAACTTAGAAAAGTGGTAGTGTAGGCAATTTTCCCGTATTTTTTTAGTTTTTGTAGATTTCGTTATAAATTAATTTATGACTAGTGAATTTTATTGATTTTATCCTCACAAAATAATTTATGAAATACCCAATAATTTATGGATCATTGGGCCTTTGATTAATTTCAGGCCTGAGTCTACTAAAACCGAAATATTGGATTTAGTCTAATCTTTTTTCTTGTCAACGGTTTTCAAATCTCTCTTTTTTTTTTTTTTTTTCTTCAAAAACTTTTAACTACTTTTTTTTTTTTGTTTTTTCATATTTCTAAATTCTAATGTAAGTTATCTTCGCGAGGGTTACTGGTTGATGTTGATGGTTTCAACAAAGCCATGGAAGAGGCGAGGGAAAGATCGAGAAGTGCCCAGAATAAGGTGTTTCCGTTGAATATATTTATTGACTGGTTTGTTGTTGTTATCCCAATTTTAATTTTCATAAGAAGCTGTTAACATTTTCATAAGATACCATCGTTCAATTTTTTTGAAGATAAGATCCGAACAAGATCAAACTTCAAAGGTTGAATAAGAAAAAGTGTATTTGCTAATCTCAATCATTAGTTAAGGGCCTTTCGGGCCCATTACACTTATGCTCGTAATTTAATTGATGCATGGGATGATTCAAAGATTCCATTATGCTCTTTTTGTAACTTACTAGGGATTAATCCGGGCTACGCCCGGATCTATATTGGACAATTGATATTTTAAAATTATTTTATTGAGTTTCAATTATTGTTTTGTTTTTTTAGTAATATATAAATTGAAAATTATGTGAAGTTGTATTTTAAAATTTTAATAAAGAAAAGTTAAATGATACTATTTAAATTTTTAATTTTATCCATCTATAATTATATGTGTAATTTATATTTTAATATATAACTCATTTTTCTTATTAATTGTCTATATAGTATTTTGTCATCTATATTACTATATATCTCTCTCTTAATTTATACTGTAGTCTTATCCATTCTCTATATTTTTAATTTTATCTCTTAACATAAAAGCAAACGATGACTTTGTGTTGTTTATTATGCACTAAAAATTTATCAGCCAAAGTATGTGAAAAGTTTTGGAAAACAAATACAACCTGCACAAACCTAGCTAATGTAAAAGAATTTAAGGTTTATTTGGATTATCTACCGAACCAAAATGTTGAGGCAGCACAATCCCACCATGCTGGAGTGAAGGTCGAAGTTCTTGAGCCTATACTATACGTAGTTTCAATTTCCAGAACTTGCATTGTTTCTATCTACAGACAAACTCTCTAAACAACCATACTTTCATATAATCATCCATAATCCTCATCAGTATTCTAGGAACCTTGATCACTGGCTTGTCGTTTTTCCTAATCGAAATAAAAGATTCGACCATTTTTTTTGTGTCCCTATGTATAAACTCTTCAAAACCAACTGAATTGATTCTTCTAAACGCATGTAATTTGAACAGATACATTGTTAATCGTAGCATCACATGCTTTTTTTTAGTGTGATGGTGTTATTGACTTAAAAACTGGAAGAAAGAGTTATTAGGGATCATCAAGTCAAATTAAATATTTGTACCACTCATACAAAGAATTTTACACTATACTTATCTTCATTATGCTAGAGTCAACTTTGCAATGTGTTATTAAATGGCTTGAAACATCTACCAAAAAATTAAAAGTTGATTAACCATGTCTCGCTCTCTCTTCATCTCCTTTAGCATTAACCATTGGTTTGGAAAATAAAAAAAACGTTAGTAAGAAGTTATAGGGCTGCAGACTATGATATAAAATAAGAGTCAAATCTATAATCTTACCTCACTCAATGACATGAGAGAAGCATTTGAATACCTAAGAGGGCATAGTTCCAAGCTTCGTCTCCCTTCTACTATGGAAGGTAAATGCCATCTGTTTGATATTGTAAATAATAAAAAAAAGAAAAAAAAAAAAACAATGGAGCAATATGTGGATAGGAAAAAGGCCAAACCTCAAAGACGATATCAAAGAAACGTGTTGGTGGAATCTGTCTGTAGCTAGGTAGAGGCTATTTGTTTCCAGGGTTTAGCAAACTGAAATATCCTCTGACTTATTTCACAAATACCAAAAATATTGTTTGTACTGATGGTGAGTTCTTCCTTTGGGATTAATCAAACTGTAAACTTAACAGAAATAGAATCGAATTTCTTACACTGCTACATCGTTATTAAACGATGAGAGATGGAATCAGCTTTTCTTTTTCGACTGAACGGTGTCGATCAGATGGCCTCTGATGTTCTCTTCCATCAATTTTCGATGAGGATGAAAAACAATTTGGGTAATTTGAAACTGGTTTTAGGTGGAACGACGTCGACAACCGTAAAGAGATACTAACACTGAAACAATTTTATAGATTTCAATTGTAGCGTATGCATCTCTAAGAAGGTTAATTAAAAGGGGAGATAGATTGGTCAATTGAACATTGATGATAGAAACTCTGAAAACTCGATCGTAGAATTTGTGGACGACGATCATCGTCTTGTTTTTTTTTTTTTTTTTTCGTTTTTATCTATTAATTCATGTGCTTCGAAACAGGTCCATATAATAGAGGCTTGCTAACGTGGCTAATTTTTTTTTTCGACGCTGTCATGGCAAGTAGAGAGAGTATTATAGAAATAGCTGATGTGGCTGGCTTAAGAAGCCTCAAACAACACCTTTTATTAGTAAGAGATGTGAAATAACTAGCGTTGGCTGTTTTAGTTCCAAATGTTGGCTAAGCTCTTTGTCCGGCCAAGAGGTTGGCATCTCCCTAAGTGACTAAATCTGACATTAAAAAAAACAACAAAATAAAAAAAAAAGGTAGAAAAATACATGTTCAAGTTTAACAAACTCGTCAAAAGATTTTCGTTTTTTTTTCTTTCTAACCATGCTTTTGCTTTCTTCTAACCATGTTAAATCTATATATATATATATATATATATATATATATATATATATATATATTTATATAATAAAAAATTTAGTTAAAAATAAAACACTTGAAAAAAAAAGCAAAACGTGAAAAATAATTTTACGAAAAAACCAGTGAGAAAATGAAACTAGGGCCTAACCCATAAAGCGGGCGGCCGACTCGACTAGACCGACTTATTTCGAAATTCATTTAAATTCGGTAGGCCTCATATACAGAATCTAGATTAGTAGTTAAAAGCTTTTGAAGAAGAAAAAAAATAGTTAAAAGCTTTTGAAGAAGAAAAAAAAAAAAAAAAAAAAGAGATTTGAAAACCGTTGAAAAGAAAAAAGATTAGTCTAATCTTTTTTTCTTTTCAACGGTTTTCAAATCTCTCTTTTTTTTTTTTTTTCTTCAAAAGCTTTTAACTACTTTTTTTTTTAAGTTTTTTTTTCTCATTCTTTTAAGAGGAATGAGAAACGACACACAACAACAGTCAAAATCTAAGCTTGTATCATCATCACACAAGGCAAGATTTGATAAAAAAAAAAAAAAATGTTAAATCCTATTATTGTTTAATATTGGCTCATTGGGCCTTTGATTAATTTCAGGCCTGAGTCTACTAAAACCGAAATATTGGGTTTAGCCTAATCTTTTTTTCTTTTCAACGGTTTTCAAATCTCTCTTTTTTTTTTTTTCTTCAAAAGCTTTTAACTACTTTTTTTTTTTTTTTTCTCATTCTTTTAATATTTCAGGCCTGAGTCTACTAAAACCGAAATATTGGGTTTAGTCTAATCTTTTTTCTTTTCAACGATTTTATGCAGCGATTTGATCGCTAGTTTATAGAAACTCTAAATCTCTGTTTCTCGACAAACTCGCCCTTCAAACTCCTTCACTAAGTTTCATTTTTCTGCAGCGATTTGATCGCTAGTTTATAGAAACTCTAAATCTCTGTTTCTCGACAAACTCGCCCTTTAAACTCCTTCACTAAGTTTCTTTTTTTCTGCAGCGATTTGATCGCTAGTTTATAGAAACTCTAAATCTCTGTTTCTCGACAAACTCGCCCTTCAAACTCCTTCACTAAGTTCTTTTTTCTCTTTCTCTCCTTCATCCAGCTCCTGCATCTCTCCAATGGATTCTCTTCTTCTTCTTTTCTCTTTCTTAGTGTTATTTCCGATCCAGTCAATTTCGCGGCTTCCGTAAAACCCAATTGACTAGAAACTAAAAACAAGTGAAGGAGCTGGATGAAAGAGAGGCAGAGAAAAAGGAACTTAGGGAAGGAGTTTGAAGGGCGAGTTTGTCGAGAAACAGAGATTTAGAGTTTCTATAAACTAGCAATCAAATCGCTGCAGAAAAAAGAACTTAGTGAAGCATTAGAAAAAAATAAAAAAACACAAAACACAAAACGTGGAAAACAATTTTTACAAAAAGACTCGAAAAAACCAATGAAAAAAAAAAAAAAAAAACTTGGGCCTAAAGTTCTCTTTATCGTATATGGGACTTCAACAAAATTCAGGTAACTCAAATTTTGATTTGTTTTGTTCCAAACTACTCTTCAGGTTCTGGACTCGAAAAGAAAAACCAAAAATAAAAAAACCAAAAAAAACGTATGCTCTGAAACAACGCAAAAATAACAGATAATCAGTCACCCTTCATAATTTGTGTTTAGGTTTTGAAAAGATCCAAGAAAATAAAAAGAAATATGGTATTAGTTTATTAATAAGTTCATAAAGGATATCAATAAATCTACTTACAACAAAAAGTATTCCTAACTAAGATTAAGATATAAACTAAACAATTATATTCTGTTTATGAAGAAATATCATCTGATGTCTCTTTATGCCTCTCCTTCCACTCCTCGCACAAGTAGCTGTGATGATTGCACTTCAAGAAATATGGATATTCTTAACACACCGAAAACGCTACTATATGGTTTTCATGGCGGACTCATAAATGCTGTTTTTGTCGGAGCTATCTTAGAGGGGGCACTTACAATAGCGCTTTTCGAACATGCTATGAAATGTCCCTATATAATAGCGTATTGTTTGTGATATTGTTATATAATTATGTAGCACTATGTTTCACTATTTATTATCTTTGTATAGCAATGTTGGTTTGCTATTTTATATTTTATAGTAGCAATTTTTATCGATTATTAATTTATCTTTTGTAACTATACAGTATTGTTATAATTTAGTTACCTGTAGCATAATATTTATACTATAATTTTGTAATACGTAACTATTATTTTTTGCCAAGCTGTATATATTATGATGTTATGCATTGTGCTCTATTTTTCTGATTTAAGCTGCTATTGATTCAATATTTGCATTTAAAATTTCATATATATAAGAAAGAAGTCAATAACATATCATCATCATATTATCCAAAAACTTACAAGTACCAAACATTACATTGATCCATGTGTTCAAGTATCAAATCACACCAAAAGTTTTGAATCATATGCAACAAAATCTAAGGCAGTAGACCTCTTACTGAAAGTTTAGACTAGCACCACTTTGTCTCTAGGCCATGCTACTGTTGTACCCAATGCATCCTCCATACACTCAACAGCATCAGAAGGCCTCCAGACCTCTGTATCATTAACCCTCACTACATCTACCCAGACACGAACTCCATTTGGTCCTAAAGGCTTAAAGTGAACTTTCATGTTAGGATCGTTAGAAGACCAACGTCCTTCAGCCACAACCCTCTTCAATCCTGTAATATCCATCAACATGCACTTCTGATTTTCCTTTCCAATCACTTCTGCAGGAATGCTTTGCTGCAATGTTTGAAATAGCAACAAATTGATGTAGATTTAAACCACAACTTAATTATATGTAACTGAGTAGACATTTTTAATTTACCTGAGACTCCTGAGTTGGTGTCTGTGAATTGGATTGTGAGTTATCCTTTGTTTTCTTAACAGGAGCTGCAGGTGTTGATGTAGATTGTTGAAGAGGAGAGACTGAACCAGCTGGTGTGTCGATGTTTACTCCGAAGAACACAACTCTGTTGATAGGCCATGCCACATAAGACTTTAAACTGTCCTCAATTGTTGACAGATCTGGAGTAGGCCTCCAAAGGAATGTTTCAGGTTCCATCACTTCATCAAGGAAGATCTTAATAGCTCCTGGTCCTATGGTAAGTCCATTAACCAGTGCTTCCCTGTCTTTTGATATCCAACGCCCTTCTGCAACAACTTCTTCATCATTTTTATCCCAATCCAGCAGTTTGTATTTGTTGGTAGAATCTGGTCTTGGACTCTGAAAAGTAAATGTTAAATGATAAAGTTAATTCTGTAGATATTAAAATGATGATGTATTAAGAATGTCTCACCTTAGGATCAAAGTCATCTGGTAACACATCATCGTAGACTACAGTATAATTCCTAGACCAAGCAATGACTGTTCCAACTGCTTCCCCAATTGTAAACATCTTATGTGCAGGTCTCCAAAGCCATGCTTCTGATTTTACAACAGTTTCAACCAATACCTTGTAAGCTCCTGGTCCCAAAGGTGTATTGTCGATGAAGTCACCACGATCAGAAGACAGTACAATTCCCTCAGCAACAATGTCATCAGTACCAGACCAATCATGCAGCACACACTTTGGTTTCAATCTATTTTTCACACTCTACCAAAAGAATAACATGCATATCAGTAAACATTATAGCCACCATTAGACTCACAATATCAGAAAAATACTTACTATTGGTGTAGAGTTTTCACCAATTTCTGGTTCAGTTGGTCTCTGTGAAACAAAAGCAAACACCAAACATTCAATTAGTCTCTGTTCCACAGTTAAAACCTGAACCTAAAAAAAAGTTTGCAATTCTAACCTGGTGATTCAGTTTTGCAAGTGCTTCTTGTAAGTCATGAACCTGTTTCTGCAGAAGGTATTGGTTCTTCTGCATATCAGCCACATGCTTGTTCTTAACTTGGAAACAAGCTAGTTTACTCATACTCATCCCTCTACCCATCGCCCTCAGTCGACCTGGCTTATCAGGTCCCAAGACTTGTGAAAGAAGATCCTCTTTTGGATTTGTTGATGTTGATGAAGGATCTCCAGATGCAGCAAGCTCATTTGTCTTTCTCTGAATATAAGAAAGATATAGATGTGTAAAACAAGATAAGTAATTACATTAAAATGATATCAGTCCACAACATTAATTTACAATATAATTGTTTCTGATGCCTGTGTATTGACAGCAGTACCATCCTTTTTGGTTCTTGACTTGACCAATACTTTCAGTCTTGTTACTTCAGATGGTTCTGATCTCTCTTGTTTCTAAATCAAAGGACAAAATGAGAGTGAAGATCAGTCTTATCCAATCAAACTAACTCATGAAATACAAATTAATTAACTTACCAACTCTTCAGCTAATCTAGCCATTCCTTTACGGCTGCAAGTATGAGGAATTTGACTGCGCCTTTTCTCCTTGTATTGATCACTCACAACCTATATATAAATGTTAGTATATAAACTGAAGATATACAAATTTTGAAGATGTCTTTATAACCTGAAATTCTGGACTAGTTTTGAGCTTGACAAATTTACGCCATTCTCCAATAGGAACA